AAAAAAAAAAAGTAATCCTATACATTGACATTTAAATAAAATGTGTGATGTACAATAAAGTGCAATAAATAGAAAACCTTTTAAAATGCAAAATAATACGGTTCAATCAGTAATTTTCATCCAAAGGGATCTGGGTTTAAATCTGTGCCGATAACCTTTCTGTCCTATTTCTGTCATATTTAAGTTCTATTTCTGGTGGATGTATTCACAGAAACCAATGTCACAGAATGCCGAGCTCTTTTGTTTGATACTGATTGAGGTTTGTTCTTTGCATCCAGGTACTTCATTGATTTTATGGCCCATGGTGAGGAGGGATTCGAACAGATTACTTTCCCACTGATTGTAAGAAACCTACAGAATGAACCAGAGCAAGCTATTAGGACAAATTTCCTGGTCACACTATGAACAATATCAGGTAAAATAAAGCTTTTATTTTACCTTTAGTTTGTCTTAATAATACAGGATAAATCTGCAAAAATCAGAATGGATCCTCACCTCACAGCTTCCACAGGGAACAAGGATTTGTGCTGGAGTGTGTAGCTAACCAGATTCTTCTGAGGAACTTTAGTATCTTTAGTAGTTAGACAGCTTGATCCTTTAACAACATCATCTATTGGAGATAAAAGGAAATACATTTTAAATGTAAACTATCACTAAACAAGCAAACAAAAAACTTGTAATAGCAGTGATGAATCCAGCAGCAATACATACAAGACTTTCTGAATATTGGTAAGAATGTGTGAAACCTACCTTGCATTGAGGACGAGACCAGAAGCCAGAGCAGCAGAACTGCATAGAAACCCAACATATACGACTTCATTTTCTAGCTTGGTTGTCACCCGTGATGTGACCCTCAAGAAAGACGCTGTCTATTTAAGCTCAGCCCTGAACTGGGACACATGGAACAACCGCCCACCGATATGACTCCACTCTCACGCCACCACAGGCAGAAAACTTGGGTAATACTAAACAAACCACTACCCAGAACGTTGGTCAAAGTTTTTATTAATAATGACATATGGTCACATTACGTTTAATTGCTTTAAGGTGTAACAAAATTGTCCAGTGAACCGATGCTATCTGTGTGCTATCCAGACAAAACATTAAATCAATATTTACGTATTTATAAATCAGAGTCAGAAAGAAGAGCATTTAACACAATCTGTATTTGAAACAGGTGATTTTAATATAATGTTTAATATAATGTATAGTATCATTTATCTTTGACAAATTGAACTTTGCTGTACTTTTCACTCTGATTGATGTATTGCCTGATTTTTTTAGGTCATGGTGGTCTGCTTCTTTCCCCCCACCACATTTAGGGGTTTTTCTCATGCAAGCAGAGTGCATATCAGATCCTTGCGGTTGAAAGATTTTTATTTATTTAATTCTTTGCCATGAGAAAGTAATCAGTGTGACAAACAGTTATCTCAAAGACAAAGGAGAGCATGATCCAAATGGCGTGTTATATTAATGTTAAAAAAAGAAACAATTTAGATAGCAGAAAATAGAACTGAACATGTTCAAGATGAGACCCCAAAATGAACA